TCGCGGAAGGTTGTCCTCAGCTGGACTGAACTGAACTGAATTGAACTGAACTGGGTCTTTAAACTTTCCGGCGCCCTGCACCTTCCGCAACGACTGTGCGTCAACAATCCGATTATCCAGATGGGGCCATGCCACTGCTGCAACTGCAACGTCTCATTCCTCCCTGTTCGCTGTGGCCCTTGAACTCAAAACCATCTCCCCCCTCCTTCAATCAACCTAGCCCCCCCCTGCATCCTCCCGGCCTTCACCAGCGGCCCGGCTTCTAGAACGGAAATCTCCCTGACGTTGCTTTTTCCCAGGTGGCAACAAGGCCTTAACTTGACCGGTCAGTTGGGGCGCACCCTCGTACGGATACCCTCAGCATCCTCGTTCTCGTACCCCCATCATCTCCTCCCGGCACCGCATCGGCGCGTTCCACTGTGGTGCTACAAACAATACTACAAATCGCTGCCTACCTAGCACATACTTCACCAGCATACGCACCGGATACCTACTGACAACGAGTCACGATGCTACTGACCTGGCCGTTGTGGACGCCGCGGAACCGCCATTATCCATGTTCTTTGCTTCAATATCAGCAACGGCACTCTATATCGGAATCCGGCCCATCAATAGCGAGTCGTTCCAGAGTGGACGTCCATGGGACAATCTTCGGAAAAAGAGACAACGGAAACCGTTGGATGGATGTTTGATAGAAACTGCCAACGACCTGACCCCAAGTCGCCATCGTCTCATCAGAGGCAGGGAGAAGAAACAAAAGAACCTTGACCATCACCTGCCGCGCTCTGCCTGAATCTCTGTCCCGCCGTCGACATCAGCTTGTCGATACCGTTTGATCGATTCCCAAGACATCCGGGATTCACAGCGTCATGGACTCTCTTCTGCCGGCGAAAGGTTGCAGATTTCCGTAGCAAAGGGACGCTGCGAGACAGGGGGACATGTGGCAGGCTCGAGCTCCGAAGCCTTTCGCATCTCTTCCTTCTTTGCTTTTTTCCACGACCCCACCATGGAGGAGGTCATTGCTCCTTGACTTGTCGGGATCATGGGTTATGCGCCTGGACTGCAGATTCATCCATGGCAACTTCTGCTGACCGCCACACCCGGATTTCAACCAGAAAAAAGGATCGACTTGTTCAAATCGGACTTACATCGAAGTGGTCAAAACCGCCTGGCACCAAGGAGTCGATACCCACGCCAACATGGCGTCATGTTGCCGCCCAATTCGCGGCTGGACCTGCCGCAGGCTGGTTTCTTCCCAGCGGATCACCACTCCATGTCCAGTACGGGATGCATCCATCCGTGGAAAAGGGGATGCGCCCTGCATACACCCGGGCAACTTTCTTTGAAAAAAAGTCACCAAAGTCTCGAACCAGCGCCGTCAAAATCACGGTTGCCGCGGCCCCCAAATATCCACTTGAGCCCCAAAGTTGCTCTGATTCGGTCATATCTATGAAAAAACTTACAGGGTATTTTTGTTGCGCGCGATTCGGATGACTGCCCCAAAAAAATGTCTTAGCAAGGGGCTGTTGCATCCACATCGGAAGTATATCCTTGGTTCAAGCTGTTCAACAAAGACGGAATTCAACCAAATGTAGTCTTCCTACGGCCTGGCAGTCCGCAGCTCTGAAGCTTCCAAGTCTTCGCCTTCGGTCCAGCAGGACCACGAACAGCCGCCCGGCCTGGTTCATTCGGGTCAGCGCGCTACACAGTCTCGGCCTTTCGGTGACGGCCACGGGTGGAACGCCTTGCCGTTCGACGCGGTCGGCAAAAATGCCTTTGCTCTCTCAGAAAGCTAACGCTAATCGGATGAACTGCCTCTGAAAGGTTGGTGGTACCACGAGGCGCCGAGGCATTCGAGTTTGGTGGCAGAGCGGGATCATTTCGCAAATTAAAACAATAATGCGGCTTGATATAGCTCTCCCGGCTCAACATCTCCTGGCAAACAGGCAAAGCGCCGATGGCAGGCGGCTATTGATACCTTGCTCATAATACGGCAACCCCAAAGACGGAAGCTGATCGATGGGCCATGTTGTCGGAACCACAAGCAATCCCGGACCGAAGCGGGTTGACGAGGAGAACATTGGAAGCTTAATAAGTCATTTCTGAGTTGCAAGCTACAAAGATTCACAGGCAACTGCGCTCAATTACCGTGCGTCAGGGGGAAAAGTAACCTGCACAAATCCTTTGTTTAATTCAGGTGGGATGGGGGTGTCGGGCCCGTCGGCAAGCTTCAGACATCCAGGACTAATTCAACCGTTTGTAGAATCTCGACACGTTTTGATAACTTGGGAACCGGATCGCGATCAACCTCGGCGTCAAGATCACATTTCTAGCGCTTAGGCCTCTATCAACCAGTGAATACCCCTCGGGAAGTTTGACAATTTAGACGAAATCAGGCTAGGGGCTTTGGGACTATGAGCACATGGACTCGATTCTTCAAGTTCATATTCAACATCTTACGTGTGCCCTAGACTGTGGTTCACTATGCACTGCGAGCTCCTTTACCGGCAGAGCAATTGGGTTGACCAGGTTGATGCGCAAAGGCCTCTTGCAACAAATTCATCTGTTCCGTATTCAGGGGTTCCGGACAAGGGGTTTCGCGTTACCAGCATAGTCGTCATGTTCGTTCGAGACAACCCTCGGTCAGATGCAGTATCTGACCTGTCACACAGCTCAAGACCACTGGCACCTTTGGTGTGTAACGCCTCATCTTCTCCTTTCCCAAGGAGGATGATCAAATTTCCAGATATGCCATTTCATGCAAATTGTCGTTCATTTCCATTATAGAGAAGCTCCGGCGGGGAGATCCTAGGAAGACACCTGCCCTGGCCTGGAGCTCTTTGTCCCCACGCATGCGACAACTCTAAGCACAAGCCCAGGTCAAGATACTAGTGAGAGCATTTTCGACTTTATGCTCGTTGTCGTCATCTCATACTGGGCGGGGAGGTAATCAGGACAAGAAATGTCCCAATGTGCGTGCTGGTCTACCGGGCATGGAGTGCAATCCTGTCATACGCTCGCAGGGTCGGAATAGCCCCTCTATACTGACGATAATCCCATCAAGTTGCACGTATAATACCGTTGACTAGCTTACACTTGAGCTCTACGCCCACGGACCACCGTCGTCTATCAAAAGGAGGAAGGTGGTGATAAACATAGCACAGCCGCGCTCAGTGATCGTCACCTCAGTCGGAGGTAGCAGTACCACTTCAGGCAAATATCAATAGGTATTATCGGCTCGTTCTGTTCCGAGTGGGTGAGTATTTCTGTGCCAACGTACGGGTTCTACGGGGTGCTGGCTACCCTCAATACTAAATCTGGAAGCCGCATGTGGGAGTTGAACCGGCCCGACGAGTCCATCCCGCTCTCCCGACGCACCGTGGTCACACATCATGACAACAATCAAGCGTCGCTCAACTCCCGCGGAACTTGAACTGGCGTCTCGTGGGTAGCTGCACATTATTCAGAAATGAAGCGTCCAAAAAACTATCGCTCGAATCGCGCAAGAATACCACCCTGATGCGACACTATTTGCGAACATCCAATCGCAACGGTTGTCGACGACATCATGTTGTCTCTATGTCGTTTCAATGCTACCATTGGGTTGTCGTTCGGGGAATATACGGCAGGACCCTTTTCGATACGACCTGGGAACAGACTACGTTCGCAAGCTGGCTACGACAATGCGATCAGACTTAGTGACAATATTGCACAGCAATCGAGATGGACCATAGCTCCCACCGGCGTGACGGTGCGCGGAGGAGACAACGGGCGCAGCGCGTTGGTGCTGGAACTGTTCCATGTACATGCTCACACGATAGGTTGCAGTCACGTCTTCGTCGTACAACGTCGGCTGCGGCATCTCAGCTCGAAGGCGGTTGATACGATCGGTACTTGAGTCCTCCTCGTTGACAGGAACGGCCATCTGATGAAAGCCGGGCTCCGGCTCGAGCTAAGAGGCTAGACTCTGAGCATCGACAGCAACTGTCAGGGGTCCGAGTGATGGCTTCTCGACGCAAACCCATCACATCCCGGCTTGGTGCTGGATCAGCAGCACCTGGAAGAGCACTACGCAACGGGAGGTTGGCTAGACCTGCAAGGCACGAGCCAACTGGGGCCACAGGAGAGCCGGAGATTTCGCCGCTGTAGATGTAACCGTAAATCCCTCTGTCTTACGGACGTAACAGCGGATGACGGTGACGAGTTGATGTTGTCGTAGTCGCCAAATCCACCTCAACGGGCGGCGGTTGGCAACGTGAGCCACCTTACTGACTGCACAGGCTCTCAAGGGACACGGCCCATGGATTGAAAGTCAGCGACAATCGTTACGAAAAGCAGAATGGGGGCTGGGGAGTGGTTTGCTCCTTTCTCCTTGCTGGTTTCGAGTATACGATGACCAACAACGGTGCTCCGCCGGCAACCGTTGCTCGCCAGCCCACACCCACAACCACGGTTCTGCAAATTGGTTTTGCGGGATTGAGACCGACGGTCCTCAACCAAGGTTTTGTTTCAAGCACGGGCCGACGGACTGTTCCTGGCCCCAGTTGGGTCGGAGGAGACGATCCCCTGACTAAGGGGATGACAGTCTGGGTCACATGCCATGGCACGTGATCCAAACTTCAAACGCGCATGGTAGCGTAGGGGACTCTGGACCCTGAAAGGGATGGCGAGGAGGTCAAAGTTTCAGCCTCTGGGACCGGAGACGTGGTTGTTCGAGAAATGAGGTGAGATGATGCTTCATATCGTAACATGAAGAAATAAGCACCGGATCGACACCAAAAGAACCACAGTCGGCTGTGGTTGTGAAAAAGTGGTGACTAAACCACAATTAAGCTCACATTCAACCTCTTCAACTGTCTTACAAAGGAGAGACAGCGAGCGACGTCAATCGACAGGGAGAGAGAGAGAGAGAGAGAGAGAGCGCCACCTCAAACTCTAAACAAAACATCAAAACAATCAACCTATTGCATCAACAAAAAAAAAAGTCAACAATAATCATAATGGAGGCAGCCGCAGCAGCAGCGGGCGCCAACATCTCGGCCACGGCAGCCCTGCACCAAGTCCCAACAGGCCTGGGCTTCGGCTTCTTCTTCCTTCCCTTCGCAACCGTCGTCTGCTTCCTCATTCCCGTCCTTTACCTCTTTCCGCCGATCCCGGCAACAACCAGCGACGCCCTGCGCGCAACGCACTCCAAGATTGGCATCGCCCCGCCAAAGAGCAATCTCCGCGACCAGTTCTCCGCCCAGCACCGCGAGCCTCCGGCCGGCGGCGCCGTCGCCCGGCTGCAGGCACTCTGCGTGTACCCCATCAAGTCATGCCGCGGCATTGAGATGGCCAAGAGCAAGCTGCTCCCCACGGGCCTGGAGTTTGACCGGCTGTACACCTTTGCGCAGCTCAAGTCGGCCTTTCCCGTCGCCGTCGACGACTCGGAGGAGTCCAAGGACCGGCACAGCTGGGAGTTTGTCACGCAGAGGCAGTTCCCGCTGCTGGCGACGGTCAAGGTGGACGTCTTCGTGCCGGACCCGACGAAGCGCACCGTCTTCATGGAGAGCACCAGCGACGCGTGGATCGTCTTCCGCTTCCCCTGGCAGGACCGCGGCTTCGCGGGCTTCGTGCAGTGGGTGTCCGCCAAGATCCGCGACGGGTGGCGTGCCGTGCCCGAGAGGGAGGTCCTACTGCCTGTCGAGTTCCCCACGGAGAAGGAGATCCAGGAGCGCGGGTACACGTACGAGGACGTGCGGGTGTGGAAGGAGATGGTGCCCGCTCTCAACATGGAGAAGGAGATCCCGAAGGAGCTGAGCCAGTATCTCGGTGTGAGCAACAAGCTCGCCATCTTCAGGGTCGACCCGAGCAAGCTAAGGGAGGTGTATCGGTGTGCGCCGACGAAGGAGGAGGCTGGGTTCCAGACCATTGTTGGCTTCCAGGATGCGGTGAGTGACATTTTCTGAAGAGATTGTAAGATGAACGTTGAGCGCTGACGAGTGAGACAGTACCCCATTCACTTGATGAACCTCAGCAGTCTTCAAGAGTTCGACTCTGAGGTGCCGAAGGACGAGGAGCTCACGCAGCTCGACGTAAGGAGGTTCCGCTCCAACATCATCGGTTTGTGGCCCTTGCAAGTTCACCACACAGTGTGACGTCTCTAATTGAAGCCTCAGTCGCCGGTGCGCCCGCCTACGATGAAGAGTCGTGGAAACACATCACCTTCACCCAGGGCACCTCAAAGATCACCGCCCCAGCAAAGTTCCAAGTCTCCTGCCGAACGGTCCGGTAAGTCCCGTCTCTGACTCTCTCTCATCTAACGGCCGGAAGCTGACTTGAGGAAAAAGCTGCAAACTCCCCAACGTGGACCCAGCAACCGGCGTCCGTCACAAGGTCGAGCCCGACAGGTCCCTCCGCAAGCTGCGCGAGGTCGACGAGGGCGCGCCCAAGATGGGCTGCCTTGGCATGCAGCTCTGCCCGCTCTTTGACGGCACCACCGACCGTGTCGAGTTCATGCAGGCCTGGCTCGAGGTCGGTATGGACGTGAGCGTGGAACAGCGCGGGGAGCATGTGTACATCAAGCAGTGATGATGGCGTTTGTTTTGTAAACCACAGTCACGGGATGGTTGTAAGATCACGCAAAGAATAGAAATCACGCAAGTAATAGAAGGTAGAGGGCCGGGGGCGTCATCGTTATTCAACATGCGGAACAGAGAATAAATCAAATCATCATTATCAACAGCACTCGAGCCTCCATAGATAGATCATACCGTTACTCCTCCCAAAGGCCTGGGTTCGTTCCCATTAAATACAACGTAACCGCCCGAGCGAACAAACACGCGAGTGATTTTCATTTCCGCATCCACGGCCCCATTTGCACGCGCTCCTGGTATCCAACCAAAGACCCCCTTCGCCCATCATACAAAAAAGTGTGTGAAGAACCGCTTTAATGACAAGAAATTTAGGGCATCTGTGGTATTCCATTTCGTCGTCATCATCATGATATGCCGGACCCCAGCAGCGGCTGTCGAGAGACAACAGCGGCCGGGACATTCGCTCTCACTCGCCAGCCTACTTAAGGTCGGCGGGTGTGAGTGCCTGGACCATACTGGTTCCCTCGCTGAAGCGGGTGCGGAAGATGCGGTTCGCGTTCTGGAACATGCCGTCTTTGAGGGAGACGACGATGAACTGCGAGCCCTTGAAGCGGGTCTTGATCAGCCGGCCAATGTTTTGTGTGTGTGACAGATCGAGAGCGGCGTCGACCTCGTCGAGAATGTACATTGGCGCGGGCTTGAACTGAAGCAAGGCCATAATGAGAGACAGAGCGATGAGTGATCTGCAGATTGTTAGCATGAGTGTCCAAGCAAGAAAGAAAACAAAGCTTCGTACCTCTGTCCACCAGAAAGCTCAGTCAAGCTCTGCTTCCACACCTTTCCGAGCGAGACCTTGACTTCGAGACCATCGCTGATGGTCTTACCCTCGGGAGGATCCAGCTTGGCGAAACTGCCTGGCAGAAGCTCGTTGAAGATCTGACCAAAGTCGCCGTTAACCTTCTGCCATGTCTCTTCAAGGGCCTTCTTCTTGTAGTCGTCGAGGCTGATGATGGTTTCCTCAATCTTCTTCTTGTCGCGGATGACCGTCTTCATCATGTGCTTGAGGGAGACTTCCTTCTTCTCAACGCTTTCAATCATGTTCATGACCTTGGGGTTGATCTTCTTCTTCATGCCCTGGAAGCGGTCCGTCAGGTTGCGGAGCGTCGCCCTGCACTCCTTGATGTTCTGGCCCTTGAAGTCATACGGCGTTCCCGTGCGGCCAAAGCTGTCCTTCTCGTCGGCAATCCACTCGTGCTCCTTTTCCAAAGCCGCCACCCTTTGCACGGATGATTCCTGCTCCTTGTGGGACTTGTCAAGCTGGTGACCCAGCTTCTGCATCTCAAGGCTCTCCTCGGCGATTCGAGCGTTCTTGGACCGGGTTGCCTCCTCCAGAGCGTGCAATTCGTCGTCGAAACCGTGAAGCTTGGCGCGCTCATCATCCAGCTCGGCCTGGACGCCGTCGAGTGTCTCTTGCAGGCTCGCCGTTTGCTTGACAAGATCCTCAATATCTTGCTGCTGAGCCTTGATGGCGAGTTCGACTTCCTGGAGCTGCTCTTGGGCGGCTGACAGATCGCCGGCAACTTGTTCAGAGTCAAGCTGAGCACCCTGCAGGTCCTTCTGGTGCGCCTTGACCGAAGCGGTGTTCTTCGTGAGGTTTGCTCGGAGTTTGTCGAGACACTTTTGCAACTCGACGAGCTTCGCGTCTTTGTTGTTGTCAAAGTCTTTCATATCCTCTTCGATTCGCTTGGCATCAGCAGTCGCTTCTGAATGCTTCTTCTTGGCTTCCGCTGTGTCGGTCTTGAGCTGGGCAATCGTCTCCTTCATGTTCTCGACCTCCTGAATGATGGACGAGGACGAGTTGCCGCTGATTTGCTCCTCGGCAAGCTTGATCTCGTGGCTTTTGAGGTCAAGCTCCTGCTTAATCTTGCGGGCGTGGTCGAGCTTGGACTTTTCGCTGGCAATTGTAAGCTGGAGTTGGTGCAGAGAGCCTTCGGCTTCCTTGAGCTGACGAGTAATGTCGTTCAGCTTCTGCAGGGTGACAAGCACACCGCTAGAGTTGGGCGAGCTACCACCAGATAGCGTGCCGGAGGGATCGTAAGAATCTCCCTCAAGGGTGATACTCCTCATACGGACGTTGGGGTCAAAAGTGACCTTCTTGGCCGTATCTGCATCCGCGCAGATGAGAGTGTTGCCAAAGACGTACTCCATGGCAGCAGACACCTCGTTGTCGTACCCGACGAGCGTAAGGGCCAAGTCGACCTTGCCTGGCGCGATTCTCTGGGCCGTGGCGATGGCCTGGGCAGAGGCTTTGAAAGTGTTGATCTTGTTCAGGGGAATGATGGTGACACGCTTGCGAAGCTTTCCTCCTTGAAGCAGCTGAGTACCAGTGACTTCAGTGTCGACCACGACGTTGTAGAGACGTCCACCTGCACAGATCTCAAGAGCTGTGCCGGCTTGGATATTCTGCTTGTCGAGAGTGAAGAGCTGAGCAACCAGACCCTTCACCTTGGACCGGTCAAAGTTGGGAACCGGGTCGGCGTAGTTGAAGTCAATGTTGGCAACTTTGCGCCTCAGGCCGTCAGCCTCCTGTCGAAGACCGCGGATCTGCTGTTGGAGGGAAGATTGCTGCTTGTAGAGCTCTTCTTCTTGGCCGGGTTGGAAACCCAGCTTGCCAAGCTCCTTCTCCAATTTTTGGGCTTGTGCCCTCAGACCTTCGAGATCCTTGAGGAGATCGGCGTTCTGCTCCTTTGCCTTCTTTGCGCGCGGCTCCTCCTCCTTGATACGTTTCTCCAAGTGCGCAATCTTCATCTTCGCTTGCTCTTGCTCGGTGAGGGCAGCAGTAACGCGATTCCTGGCGTCTTGAAGCTGGCCTTGGTAGCCGCTCTCCTGTCCATCCTTGGATGCAACACCGGTCTGCAGTGTCTGCAGCAGCTCCTCCTTGGATTCGACTTCTTGGCTCTGCTTCTCAAGGTCATCTTTGGCAGCGTCGTACTTCGCCTTGGTCGCCTCATATGCCTCGGTCTTGCTTTGCAAGGTCGCTTCCAGCTCAGCCACTGTCTTTTCCACGGCGGTCTTCTTTTCTTTCTCTTCAGCCATGCTGGACTTCTTCAGGTCCATGACTGTCGCCAGTCTCACAATCTCGTTGGAATGCTTCTTGACGGCGTCCTCCAGACCTTGTGCCTTTCCTCCCTTCTTGAGCTCCTTGTCACGCTGCGCGCGCACTCTCTTCACATCCTCCTCAAGATGGGAAATTTCGCTCTTCAACCGTGTCGCAGACTCCTCGAGGGCTTTTTGTCGTTGCTTCTTGCCGTCGAGATCTGATGCGAAATGCTCCAGCCTTTCTTGGTTTTGTACGTAGTCGTGCGCGACAACCACTCTTGTCAGACGCTCGAGGTCGTTTTGAGTTTGTTGGAAGTCGAGGAATGCGCGCTTCTCTGTCCGCAGCTTCTCGAGCTTGGGCTCGATTTCTTCTGTCAACAGACCTGTGATTTCTTGCAGCTTCATCTCTTTCTTGGCCATCGTCTTCAGTGCCTTGTCCCTCCTATCTTCGAACATCCTGGTTCCTGCGGCTTCCTCAATCATGGCCAGGATCTCTACAGCCTTCATGTTGAGGACTTTGGTGATCCGACCTTGCATAATGAGGAAGTTGGGGTTGTTGATGTTCAGCTGCACAGACTGGAAGAGGTTCTGCACTGTCTGCTGTTGCGCACGATGTCCGTTGATGAGGTATTTGGACGTGCCGCCGAGGACGATCTGTCTGGTGACGCTGATTGTCGCATACTCTTCGAAACCGATTGGTGACTTCTTCTTATCCCTATTATCGAAGACAATCGTAACGCTCGCTTTCGTGACACCGGCCTGACCGCGCTTGTAGATAAGGTCCTATGGCCAGTCGCATCAGCATGCAGTCAACCGGGAACGGTCATCCACTATGTCTTTCTTACCTGGAGATTTTGCGCTCGGACTGTGGTCATGTTCGTAATACCCAGAACGAAGCAGATGGCATCCAGAATGTTGGACTTGCCAGAGCCGTTGAGGCCAGTGATTGAGTTGAAACTCTCGTCCCTGTTCTGTGTGAGCCCTCGTTCCCTCTCGACCCATCGGATGGAAGCAATGTTTGTTTACCATCCTGAAATCACCGTCCGCACGGCGTACGACTTAAAGCCCTGGGAAATGTCAGCGCAAGAAAGCAAATGCAAGTGGGATCGAGTCGCATACGTCTATAATAACTTCTATGACCCTCATGCTGCACTGGTTAGTCGTTGTCGGTGTTGTTGCTGAGGAGGACTTTGTCGGTGTCGAGACTTTTTGTTTACTTTCGCTCGGTCGCGTTTCCATTTCACCCTCCCTGAGCCCCCCCTCGCATGGAACCCTCGCCCGCTTGTCCCGCCCGATAAGGCCCTTATCGGTTGCAGCAACCGCGAACTTGCCGCAAGCGCGACTTGTCATTGCCCCAGGCCAGAGAGCCCCACGACCTTCAGCCGCGCTAAGCCAAATGCGGACTCGACCAAAACATTCGGTTCGCAACGCAATTGATGAAGGCCCATCAACACCACCGCACACACATCTGTACAGCTTTGCTTCCCACTTTTGCTATCCTCTTTTTCCCCTACCAAGCTCCTTTACCAACCTCGACTCCCACTCGACCTCCATGACCAGCTAGCTTTTCACCTTCTCTTCATAGCGACACTATTGCGCCTGTCGCGCCCTACCCCTCACAATGGCTACGATGCGAGGCACGCGTGTGCCCGTCGGCTCCGCGTCATGGATCTCTGAAGAACGAACGACCGCCCTCAGCATCGTCCAGGCGGAAGCCGAGGAATTTTCTTTTGCCGCGAGAAACGAGTTGGACTGGCTTAACGAACACATGGCCGGGATCTTCAACGAGAACGAAGTGCACGTACATCCTTGTCACCAGCAGGCATCAGTTACTAACACTGTGATCAGGAACGTGGCCGAGATTTTTAAGACTCCAGGAAAGCTTCGCGGCAAGAC